TGCCACGAGAAAATAAAATTCATATCTTCAAGCCGCCGTGTAATGTTCTTTTTATTATATAGACATGCTGATGACGGCGTTTTTGATGATTTTCCGAAGATTTCCGACCACCTTCCGAAGATTTCCGAAGATTTTCCAAAATTTTTCGAAGGCCAGGCAAACGTTCCCGAACATTTTCCGAGAATTTCCGAAAATTTCCGAAGATGTCCGAAGATTTCCGAAGAGTTCCGAAGACTTTCGAGGAAGACCCGAAGATGTTTCGATGATACACCAACGAATTCAAGTACAATTTAAGAGACAAACTTGATATCAATGAAATCATCGATAAACTCACGTGTGAGATTATTGAAAATAAACCACTCGGGTCCCGGATGTAGTTTTTATGAATTTTACGAGTGGTATATTTTCCAGTAAAACACTCGTGTCTATATAATAAAACAAAATAAATAAATCGTGGACGGTAGTAACCTAAAATACCTCTCAGCAGCATGAATGGCTATTTGAATCTTTATTAATTACTGTCAAGAGCAATAATGGCTCTGGTCACTACTGTACAACAGCACCTCTTGCCTTTAAACAAACCATCTGGAAGAATATTAGAATACGTACCAGTGTTGAAATCAAGCGGACGGGACTAGCCTGTGTACAGAACCCTCCGATATCTACTGAGGGGAGGGGGAGTCTGTACACAGGCTAGACGGGACTGGAGACGGGACCAAATGCACGATTTGTGAAAGGACCGGTACTGGACTAATGCTAACCATTGTTTTTCAAAACAAAATGGTAGCCGAAGTAGGGGTTGGGGCGCGGTCTGCAAACAAATTTGCCCTTGATCTTCACGAGATCTTAAGAAGTGAAGGCAATTTGGTCAACGAAAACCTTTTCTATTCTCCTGCAAGTCTTCTCATCGCCCTGGCGATGACATGTTTCGGAGCAAGGGGAAAAACTGCCCAGGAATTAGCGACTGTTCTTCATCTAATCCCTGATTCTTCATCTGGGCCCAACATGAAGAGGTTTCTGTCCAACCTCAATTCATCAAGCGACAACAACACCAAGCTGCTCACGGCAAATAAGCTTTTCATTGAAAAAAGCCTTGAAATCCTGAAGTCGTATAGAGCTGGGATTCAAGAGTTTTACGATTCTGAAGTTACCTCTGTGGACTACAAACAGCGCACTGAAGAAGTTAGAGAGGAGATTAACAAGTGGGTGGAACAGAAAACAAACGACAAGATCAAAGGACTTATCCCTCCTGGAATGCTAAGTTCTGACACAAGATTGGTTCTGGTGAATGCAATTTACTTTAAAGGTTTATGGCTTCAACCATTCCTGAAAGAAGAAACTTTTCCAGGGAC